TTCCATAGTGATACTACCTCGGAAACCCAAGGAAGGGTGGCTATGAGTCGGGGCCGACTCGACGGCAAATAACAACAACAACAACAACACTTTATATAGTGACAAAGTATATTAATGTACATAAACTTATTTAATCCTGTGAAATTTATTTTGAGTAGAGTTAAAGAGATAATGGGTTTTCAGTTAACCTGATTTTTGCATGGGTAACTAGGCTTGAGAATTACCTATGAACTAATAGAGTCTAGATTTGGTTACTCTAACCATTGTTCATTTGACAGTGTCAAGATGGAGAAAAGTAAGCTAGTTTCATGTTCAGTTTATAAATACAATAAAGGGCTTATTCTCCATACTTGTCCTATTCAATGTCCTTTCCGACTGGAAAAAAAAAATGTTTTGGGAGTTTTGCCAATCAAATATGTACATGGTATTTAATTTGGAAGGCTAGTTAACATAACTAAGTGAAAGAATTAGAATTTAAAATTCTGTAAGATGAAGTAATGGATACACTGATGGGCTTCCTTATACACTTACACAGTTTCCTTTCCCTCCCTTTAATCCCTGAAAGAAAAGAAAATGGAAAAAAGTATGAATGTGAAGCTAACTTTCTTTCATGAGCAATTTTTAAAAAAGATTTTGCAGAAATACTGTAACTATAACAATGGATATTTAGGCCACTCAGGTCTATGAATGTTAAATATATGATGGTCAAGGGTCCACCTACTGCCACTATCAGAATAGTATAGGGGACATAATAACTGTCTTCACTACTTTGAAAGGTGGTTGTCATGGATTGAGCTGTGTTCTCCAAAAATGAGTCTCATTGTGCCTGGGCAAATGATTCTCAATGATTTGGCAGTTATATAATGATGTAATTTTGCAATTATATACTTATGTAATCACTCACACAATCAGCCAGTCATTTGTAAGGGGATTGGGGTGGAATATAACACATTTACTCAAGTCACTTTCTGTCTGAAAGCAAAGAATACCAGAAAGATATTTATCTGTGTTTTATGGACTATGTAAAGGCATTTGACTGTGTGGATCATAACAAATTATGGATAACATTGCAAAGAAGGGGAATTCCAGAACACTTAATTGTGCTCATGAGGAACCTGTACATAGACCAAGAGGCTGTAGTTCGAACAGATCCAGGAACCTACTGCATGGTTTAAAATCAGGAAGGGTGTGCATCAGGGTTGTATCTTTTCACTATACTTATTCAATCTGTGTGCTGAGCAAATAATCCAAGAAGCTGAACTATATAAAGAAGAATGCAGCATCAGGATTGGAGGAAGACTCATTAGCAACCTGAGATACGCAGACACAACCTTGCTGAAAGTGAAGATGACTGATGAAGATGCAAGACTACAGTCCTCGGTATGGACTACACCTCAACCACAATTTAAAAAAAAAAAAAACAGAAATCGTCACAACTGGACAAAGAAGCAACATCATGATAAATGGATAAAAGATTGAAGTTGTCAGGGATTTCATTTTACTTGGATCCACAATCAGCACCCTGAAAGCAGCAGTCAAAGAATCAGATGTATTGCACTGGACAAACTGCTGCAAAAAACCTCTTTAAAGTGTTAAGCAAATATGTCAGTTTGAACTAAGGTGCGCCTGACCCAAGTCATGGTATTTTCAGTCGCCTCATATGCTTATGAAAGCTGGACAGTGAATAATGAAGACCGAAGAAGGGCTGATGCCTTTGAATTGTGATGTTGGTGAAGAATACAGAAAGTACCATGGACTGCCAGAAGCATGAACAAATTTGTTCTGGAAGAAATGCAACTGGAATGCTCCTTGGAAGCGAAAATGGCCAGACTTCCCACTTATTTTGGTCAACTGTCAGAAGGGACTATTCCCTGGAGAAGGATATCATGCTTGGTAAGGTGAGGGTCAAAGAGGAAGGGGAAGACCGTCAATGAGATAGATTGGCACAGTGGCTGCAGTGATGGGTTAAAGCATGGCAAGGATTGTGAGGATGGCACAGGACTGGGCAGTGTTTCATTCTCTAGGGTTGCAGGGAGTTGGAGCTGACTTGATAGCACCTAACGACAACAATGCACATATGATGTGATGTGATTATGAAACTTTGTTTAACCAAAGCTTCTGTTTCTTTTTAACCATGCCCAATAGTGCCTAAGGCACTTGACTGCTAACCAGAAGGCTGGTGGTTCAAACCCACCAGCCACTCCTTGGAATATTGGGCAATCTACTTCTGTAGTGATACTGCCTCAGCAACCCAAGGAGGAGTCACTATGAGTTGGGTCCAACTTGACAGCACATAACAACAACAAAATGAGAGCTTAATATGCTTGAGGTTTGTTGTGATCATGCTTAGTAAATGTTCATAAAACCTGTGTTTACTTTACAGTTAAACTCAGCATCCTGATTTCTCCTACCCAATGTATTCTTATTAAACGTTTATTTATTTACTTATTTATTTAAAAAAACATCCCATACCCTAACATGTTCAAGCTTTGGTTATTTGCTATTCCCTGTGCCTAGAGTGCCCACCCTCTTTATGGGAAGATAAACTCCTACTCATCCTTCAAGACCTACCCCAGGAAGAATTGGATGCCAATCCCTGGCACAAGGTGTATACACACAACATTCATGTCCTATTTGCTGGCAGCACCCTTTTCTGCTAATCCTTGCAGTAGTTTCACACTATATTCTTACACAGATAATGCACGTGTTACAAGTTATTACAAACTCTGCAACCCCTGCATTTTATTTTTGTAAGTATGCTACACCAATATTTTTTACATGTTGCTGATTTCAATTTCAATTTTTGTGTATCCAGTGGATTTAATGTTACCAGGATAAAACTGATCTCATGGAAACTTCATTTTCCTAAACCAAAGGCAATCAATCATGAACTGAACAGGTTCGTGGTGGAAATGTAACACCATGTGGAAACCAAAGAGTGTGAATGCACAAAGAGCACTAATAAGAAATAATCCTATGCCTAAAACTACCAGAATAGGATGTTTTTATTTTATTGTTTTCATAAATTTAAACTGAAATGTAATTTTTGATAATCAGTGTCTTTGAAATCAACAAATAAAAGGAGAAATTGTATTTTCATCCTAATATAGGCCAGTTTATTCATTAATTATTATCATCTGACTCTTGGAACTCTTCAGAGTCCAGAAGTTGCTGGCCTACAGTTGTACTCATTCCTTTTCATGAATTTAGAAATCCAGGTGAAACTCCCTTTGAATTCTGAGATTCCTCTTTCCTTTGCTTTGATTTGAATTGTGACAGCAGGGACAGCTTGATTTTATTCCTGTTGAGAAACTTTCAAGTCATTCTCCAACTCAGACCATTTTGTTTTTGGCCCAGGATACACTCATTTCTCCAGCTCTCTCTCCTTTCTCTGTTCACAAATGGACAACTCTCCAACTATAATGCTGCAACCTCAAACTTTCTCACTGCCACTCTGTTGGTTATTTCTTCCTCCTTCACAATGACTTTCAATTTGAAGTTGGTAGTGTAGGACTTGT